CCCCCTTCGTTTTCTTTCTTCTCTGAATTCCTATTACCAATACCCTCAACCCATTCATTCACCAAATACATAGAATGTCTACTCCACGCTGGGTCTGGGCCAGGCCTAGGAGACACAGAGATGAAAAGCATAGATGCAGGCACTGCCCAGACACGAAGCAGATAATATGCAGAGCAATCTAATGATAATTATTAAAGTGCTTCAGAGTATAATTTGACCTTGTATTCTCTAATTGAAATACTCCTCAAATATTATTGAAGGAGCTGCAAAGAAGAATTCATAGTCTAGATGGAAAGATAATATAACTGCCAGTGCAGTGGCTCATGCCTATAATTCCAGCACTGTGGGAGGCTGAGGCGAGCAGATCACTTGAGAACAGAAGTTCGAGACCAGCCTGGGCAACATGGCAAAACCCTGCCTCTACTAAAAATACAAAAAATGGTGGTGGGTGCCTGCAATCCCAGCTACTCAGGAGGCTGAGGTGGGAAAATTGCTTGAACATGGGAGGCAGAGGTTTCAGTGACCTGAGAATGCACTGCTGCACTCCAGCCTGGGTGACAGAAGGAGACCCTGTCTCAAATTTAAAAAAAAAAAGATAAAATAACTGCTCTATACACATAAAAAGACAGTAAATATTTAATGTTTAATATCAAAGATAGTAAACACTAAATGTTAACAGACAGTATATCTTTAAAGATAGTAATGAACTGTTGAGTGATGCAAAAAGCAATTGCTTAAATAAGCAGAGAGAACTTCACAGTTTGTATCATGGAGGTGAGAAATAAGTAGAGAGGAATTGGGAAGAACATTCCAAGGTAGTAGAGCAGGGAAAACAATGGAAGGTAAGAAAACACAGTATCTTCAAGCATTGTTTTTTTTTTTTTTTGTTTTTGTTTTTGTTTTTTTTTCTGAGACAGGCTCTTGCTCTGTTGCCCAGTCTGGAATGCAGTGGTATAGTCAGAGCTATCATAGCCTCAACCTCCTAGCTCAAGCGATCCTCCCACTATAGCCTCCAGAATAGCTAGGACTACAACCGTGCACCACAACACCGGGCTGTTTTTTTTTTCAGTAGAGACAAGGACTCGCTATGTTGCCCAAGCAGGTCTTGAACCCCTGGCCTCAAGTGATGCTTCTACCTTGGACTCCCAAAATGCTGGGATTACAGATGTGAGCCACTGTGCCTGGCCAAGCATCATTGAATTTGAGGTAACATAGGTAAAGAAATATCAGTGATAAGGCCAGAAGAGTTTATTCATGTCCAGATGTAGAGATTTTTGTTTCTAAAAGAAATGTTTGAGAGTGAGGATTGCAAATCATATATTTCTGTTTTGGCTTTAATAATGAAAACTTTGGGAATTGAACTTGAACTTAGCCTACTCATATGTAGATATATAAACAAATGAGTGCATCTGCTATTTGTTCTGTTGTGGGTTAGCTCTATCTGATAATTATTCCTGACATACATGCTTTCAACTAGCTATTTATACCTTACAACTCTAGCAGGGTCCAGGGAAAGATATAATTATTTTCATTTTATAGTTGAGAAACTAAACCACTAGGAGTTTTATCACTTGTTTTAGGAAAACTTTCTAAGCTTGAAGATTATTGACAAAAGAAGCCACCATTTGCATGTCAGAGACTCCTGGTTTTCCATAAAAGTCAATTCTCTCCTTCTTACATTGCAATAGGGTTAGGATCTGGACACCTGTGACAGGTTAGAGACTGTATTTCCCAGACTTGCATACAGCTAGGCATGGTCAGATAATTATTTTCACCAGCGAAATGTGAATGGGAACGATTTGGGCACATCCCTCCCATTCTCTTGCTTAAAAGGAAATTGCTGCCTTGTACTCTTTTTGTCTTCTGTTTCTTCCTCCTAGGGGCTGAAACTTGCATGTGCCTACAATCCATCTTCAAGTAAAGACACACCCCTTCACAGCTAACTGCCCAAAAGGTTAATTTTCAGACTGAGTACGATTGTTTCCTGAGAGCTTGTTAGTATCTTAGACTCCACTCAAGACCTAGGAAATCAGAATCTGCATTTTAACAAGATCCCAGGTGATGCATGTTCATATTCACCTTCAAGAAGCGCTGCTCTGGCTGGGCGTGGTGGCTCATGCCTGTAATCCAAGCACTTTGGAGGCCAAGGCAGGCGGATCACCTGAGGTTGGGAGTTCAAGACCAGCCTGACCAACATGGTGAAACCCAGTCTTTATTAAAAAAAAAAAAAAAAAAAAAAAGGAAAGCACTGCTCTAGTGGTAGCAGAAGAGATTTACAGATGGAATGTTGGTCTATAAACAATCTCATGATGCAAATGCTTGCTCTTCCGTGGCTCCTGCATAACTTTCTATCTTCAATAAGCAGCTGAATCTTAGCCAGGCATGGTGGCTCATGCCTGTAATCCCAGCACTTTGGGAGGCTGAGGTAGGTGAATCACCTGAGGTTGGGAGTTCGAGACCAGCATGACCAACATGGAGAAACCTCGTCTTTACTAAATGTAAAAATTAGCCGGGTATGGTGGCACATGCCTGTAATCCCAGCTACTCAGGAGGCTGAGGCAGGATAATCACTTGAACCTGGGAGGTGGAGGTTGCGGTGAGCTGAGATTGTGCCATTGCACTCCAGCCTGGGCAACAAGAGAGAAACTCCATCTCAAAAACAAACACAAACAAACAAAAAGAAATACTTAAAAAAAAAATTTTAGGAGACCGGGTCTTACTCTGTTGCCCAGGCTGGAGTGCAGTGGTGCAATCATGGCGCACTGTAGCCTTGAACTCCTGGGCTCAAGTGATCCTCCTTCATCAGCCTTCCTAATAGGACTACAGGCGTGAGCCACCATGCCTAGCTACTGTTTTTAAATTTTTTCCTGTAGACACAAGGTTTCTGTTACCTAGCCTCCCAAAGCACTAGGATTACAGGCATGAGCCACCATAATTGGCCAGGAACTACTTCTTGAAAACCATATTAGGCAAACTACTGTTCCAGGATTTAGAATGTGTGTGTGTGTGTGTGTGTGTGTGTGTGTGTGTGTGTGTGTAGGATCCCAGATTATCATTATTATTATTATTATTTGAGACAGAGTCTCGCTCTGTCACCCAGGCTGGAGTGCAATGGTGTGATCTCAGTTCACTGCAATCTCTGCCTCCCAGGTTCAAGTGATTCTCTCCCTCCCCTGCCTCCCAAGTAGCTGGGATTACAGGTGCATGCCACCATGTCTGGTAATTTTTTGTATTTTTAGTAGAGCCAGAATTTCACCATGTTGGTCTCGAACTCCTGACTTCAGGTGATATTCCTGCCTTGGCCTCCCAAAGAGCTGGGATTACAGGCATGAGCCACCACACCTGGTAGGGCTTGTAATTTATAATTTAGTAGTGAGAGAAGAGAAAAACAGGAATATTAAAACTATAAGTTCTCTAAGAAAGTGTAGTGATATTTGTTGATTTTTTTTTTATTATTTGTTGGCAGTCCTTGGTAGACAGAATAATATTTCTACAAATTTGTCCATGTCTTAATCTCCTGAATCTATGAATATGTTTGTTGTCTTCTAAAAGGGACTGGCTGATGTGATTAAGGACCTTAAAATGAAAACAGTGTCTGGAATTATCCAGTTGGAGCTAATGTAATCACAAGGGACTTTCTTTCTTTCTTTTTCTTTTTTTTTTCAGTTAGTAAGGAGATAACTTTATTTATATGGGGATAGATAGTTGCTCTGATGTTGGTTTGAGAACTTCAACTCCAAGAGCAGTTTCTCTTTTAATTCAAGACCAAGCTTGTAAATTAAGCTACCTTAAAGAAGAAAGAAGCATTGCAGAAAAAGGAAGGGAATGGGAAAAAATAAACACACGGTGGATAATGCCTGTGATCCCAGCACTTTGGAAGGCCAAGGCATGCCGGAGGATCCCTTGAGGCCAGGAGTTCAAGACAAGATAGGCAACATAGCAAGACCCCTTATCTACTTAAAAGAATTAAATGGACATGGTGATGCACATCTGTAGTCCCAGCTACACAGGAGGCTGAGGCGGGAAAGTCACTTGAGCCTAGGAGTTGGAAGCTGCAGTGATCTATGATCACGCCGCTGCACTCCAGCCTGGGTAACAGAGCAAGACCCTGTCTCAGAAAAATTAAAAAATGAGCAGCAGTGCAAATATCATTGGGAATTTCTTAGCCAAAACCAACTTTGGCAGTTTGGTTAGAGGAAAAAGTCTCTTTCTGATTCTATCACTTTTATCCCTTAATAGGTTTCATTTATCCTTGGTATCTGTGTTTTAAAACAAAAAAAAACCCACAATCTTGGACTCTTCTCAATTTAATAATCATTTTAGGGGTGCTTTGTCCCACGGCTAATTTTAGGACAAGTTCTCTTTTCAGAAAGAGAAACACTAGGTATGACTAGTATCCCTTTTGCATATAATCACTTTGTGGGATGGCAGACAGTTCTAGGTTAGGAGTTCCCAAGCTCTAGTCTACTTTGAACACTCTGCAGACCTTGGTAGGAAGTTAGCCCTTTTCCAGGAACAAAGCGGGTGCCCAGGAACAAATTCAGATATGTTTGGTCAAGATAGGCCTGCTCAAATCAATGCAAATGGTAACTAAAAGGGACAGCCAAGGTTGTCACATAGTGATCAAGATGTTTGGTCTACCAGTTACATAGAAAAGTTCACTTTCATGCAGTTGGTTCAGTCCTTTGGGGTTAAAGGCAGATAAATAGTGCCTTCCTTACTGAACAGGCCTGTTAAGTGAATACCTTGGAAGCTGACTTTTGCTTTCCTTTTATTTCAGTTAGCATCAGGAAGTCACTGTTACAGATCTTTGGGCTCTAGAATTCATTGGGCTAGATCGTTCCCAATTCTGTCTTCAGAAGAGTCTGTTATTAAGAAATGCTTAAGCGTCCATTTTTTTTAGGTGACCGAGAAAAGCAGAAACATTAGTGTTCACAGTAAGAAAATACTGTCATTGTGCTTCCACGTGTTCAGAGTACCCCCTTTCCAGAATGATTTACTCAGCTGTGTGGGAATGGCTGTTGTTCATCCAGCTTTGGCAAAGGGATATTACCTGGAGGGGCCACAAAGTACTCCTCCACGACACGATGGGAGTTTTGTAGTAATTCATCAGCACAGTTGCCTTCTACTACATTGTCAGATCTCAGGTATAGACATCTGTCCTCCAGGACCGACTCCATGGGCTCCACTCCGTCGGTGTCCACTGCGGGTAGCGGGTCGGCGAAGGCGATGGCTTTCTCCCGCCGCGCTGCTGCCTCATGGCTGCCGAAGTCCACAAGTGCTAGACGCTCCAGGTGCTCGATCACCTCGGCGGTGATTCGGCCACTGCCCTGAGGATCTGTCTTGGAGGTGAAGCCCCGGGGCCCGCCCATCGGGGCCCGAAGGCCCAGCCACAACGCCGGCGCCCACATTTCTTCCTTCCTTGGCCCCCGGAGCGCCCACAAGGGACTTTCCAAAAGGAAGGAAGAGGTCAGTCAGAGAAGGTGCTATGGCAACTCAAGCCGGGTTGGAGTGATGCTGTGGTTGAAATAGAGCCAGGAGCCTAGGAATGTGGACAGCATCTAGGATCTGAGAAGGGGAAGGAATAGATTCACCCTCAGCTCAGAGATCGGTCGCAGTGGCTCATGCCTGTAATCTTAGCACTTTGGGAGGCTGAGGCAGGCGGATCACCTAAGGTCAGGAGTTCAAGACCAGTCTGGCCAACATGGCAAAACCCCGTCCTACTAAAAATACAAAAATTAGCCAGGTGTGATAATGTGTGCCTGTAATCTCAGCTACTTGGGAGGCTGAGGCACGAGAATCGCTTGAACCCCCAAAATGGAGGTTTCACTGAGCTGAGATGGCACCGTTGCACTCCAGCTTGGGTGACAAAGTGAGACTCCACCTGAGGAAAAAAAAAATTCACCCTCAGAGCCTCTAGGAGGAATGCAGTCCTGCCAACACCTTAACGTTAAGACCATTATCAGACTTCTGACCACCAGAACTGTAAGATAATAAACTTATGTTGCTTTAAGCCACTAGGTTTGTGATAATTCATTATGGCAGTCATGGGAAACAGCCATAATAAAACATAAAACCATTTGATAGGAAGTGGTGATTGTACTAGAAGGCTTTCAGTTTATGTGAAAAAGTTAGCATTAAATGGAGACTTTAAAGCTGGACAGGATTTCTAATGGCCAGATGAGGAGGGAGGGTGCATTCTAAGGAATCAATTGTAGGTAATTCACCAAGTGAAAACATTTCTGATATTTGGCCGTCTTTCATAGAACTTATTTATGTATAAACATGCAAGGGTTAAGATCACACCAATTCATTCATTATTTAAAGAAGTCAGCCTTAAGAAGAAAATCCCATCCATTAAACACATGGAGTCCAGGGCTTAGCAATGTGTGTCACAGTGACGAGGTTGCTGTCATCTACAACTCTCTCTGATGTCTAGGAAAGCTAGCTGTGCAAATTTCTTTTTATGCTTCCTTTCAGTTGCTAGCGGGGTTTCACCTCCTCACTCTGCCGCCAATTGTCTTAAATTTAGGTCTGCAGATCTTCAGAGAGGCTGGAAGAAGCTACTTGTACCAAAGGGATCAAAACTTGGTCTGCAAGATTCCTTGGTCATGTACAGAACGAGTAAACTTCAAATAGGTAGCTTTCACATCTAGTTCTCACAGCATCAGGTAATTGCTAAGTGCCTACCAGATAGCCACAATTCCTGTTTATAGTGTCCTTGGGGGAATACATGCATTTAAAAAAATGGAAGTGTGATAAGAGCTACTAAAGAAAAAGCTGGTGGGGTATGGTGGTTCATGCCTGTCATCCCAGCACTCTGGGAGGCTAAGGTGGGTGGATTGGTTGAGGCCAGGAGTTTGAGACAGCTTGGTCAACATGGCGAGACCCCATCTCTACTAAAAATACAAGAATTAGCCAGGTGTGTGGTGCACGCCTGTAATCCCTGCTACTCAGGAGGCTGAGGCATGAGGATCACTTGAATCTGGGAGGTGGAGGTTGCAGTGAGCCAAGATCCCAGCACTATACACCAGCCTGGGCGACAGAGCAAGACTCTGTCTCAAAAAACAAACAAAACAAAACAAAAACAACAACAAAAAAGCACAAGTTGCAATGTGAGTGTAGTAGAGAGGATGATGATTTGCCTCTGAATTGTTCAATCTTCAGGCCTCCTTTACTGTCAATTTCAACAAAGGGCATCGAAGATTTTCCCACAGATGATCTATATGATATATTTTTATTTTGTTTTGTTTTGTTTTTTTGAGACAGAGTCTTGCTCTGTCACCCAGGCTGGAGTGCAGTGGCACAATCTCGGCTCACTGAAACCTCTGCCTCCCAGGTTGAAGCCATCCTCCCACCTCAGCTTCCCAAGTAGCTGGGACTGCACGCATGCACCACCACTATAACTGGTTAATTTTTTAATTCTTTTTGTAGAGATGGGGGTCTCACTTCATTGCCCAGGCTGGTCTTGAACTCCTGAGCTCAAGTGGTCCACTTGCCATGGCCTCTCAAATTGCTGGGATGACATGTGTAGGCCACGGCACCCAGCCAATCTATGCAATATATTTTTAAATATATATTTTATAGAAATATATTACTAAACATTAAAAAAATAGAAAATAAAGCTATCCATAGCCTGCTATTCTAACATAGCCTGCAAAATCCCTTTTAAGTTTTACTATGTAATATAAAATAAGTATCATTTATTGCATACCATGTGCAATGCACTGTGCTAAGAATCTTCTATACATAATCTTATTTAGTCCTCATAACAATCCTGTGATGTAGATACTGTACCATTATCTCCATTTTTACATGCACAACTTGAAGATATTGCTAGTTTAGTTCCAGATCACTGCAATATTGCTAATATTGTAATAAAGTGAATCACACAAAGTTTTTGGTTTCCCAGTGCATATAAAAGTTATATTTCTACTATACTGTAGTCTATTAAGTGTTAAGGCTGGGTGCAGTGGCTCAGGCCTGTAATCTCAGTACTTTGGGAGGTGTAGGTGGGCAGATTGCTTGAGACCAGGAATTCAAGACCAGCCTGAGCAACATGGCAAAATTCCATCTCTACAAAACATACCAAAAAAAAAAAAATTAGCTGTGTGTGGTGGTGCACACCTGTAGTCCCAGCTACTCAGAAGGCTGAGGTGAGAGGGTAGCTTGATCTGGGAAGCTGAGGCTGCAGTGAGCTGTAATTGCACCAGTGGACTCCAGCCTGGGTGACAGAGTGAGATTCTGTCTCAAAACAAACAATCAAACCTTACTGCTAAAAAATGCTAAGGATCATTTGATCTGTCAGTGACATGCCATCTTTTTGCTGGTGGAGTCTTGCCTTAACGTTGATGGGTGCTGACTGATCAGAGTGATGGATGGTAAAGTTTGAGGTAGCTGTGGCTTATCTTATTTCTTAAAATAAGACAACAATGAAATCTGCCACATCGATTGACTCTTCCTTTTATGAAAGTTTTCCCTGTGACATGCAGTGCTGTTTAGCATTTTACTCACAGAAGAACTTTCAAATTTGAGTTTTTTTTTTGAGACGAAGTTTCACTCTTGTTACCCAGGCTAGAGTGCAAAGGCGCGATCTTGGCTCACTGCAACCTCTGCCTTCCGGATTCAGGCAATTCTCCTGCCTCAGCCTCCTGAGTAGCTGGGATTACAGGCACGCACCACCATGCCCAGCTAATTTTTTGTATTTTTAGTAGAGACGGGGTTTCACCATGTTGACCAGGGTGGTCTCGATCTCTTGACCTCGTGATCCACCCGCCTCGGCCTCCCAAAGTGCTGGGATTACAGGCTTGAGCCACTGCGCCCGGCTGAATTTCTTTCAAAATGAGAGTCAATCCTGTCAAACCTTGCTGCTGCTTTACCAACAGTTCCATAGTTTATGAAATATTCTAAATCCTTTGTTGTCGTTTAGCAGTATCCACAGCATCTTCAACAGGAGTAGTTTACATCTCAAGAAACCACTTTCTTTGCTTATCCATAAGAACTGACTCCTTGCCTGCTAAAGCTTTCTCATGAGATTGCAGCAATTCAGTCACATCTGCAAGCTCCACTTCTCATTCTAGTTCTTTTGCTATTTCCACCACATCTGCAGTTGTGTCCTCAACTCAAGCCTTGAACACCTCTGTGGGAAAAGACTTGTTGCCAGAGCAGTCAGAATACACAAAACATTGGAGTTCGCTGTTTTACATGGGTGTGGTTAGTGGCACCCCAAAACAATTACAATAGTAACATCAAAGATCCCTAATCACAGATAACTGGAACAGATGTAATAGTAATAAAAAAGTTCAAAACATTGCGAGAACTACCAAAATTTGACACAGACATGAAGTGAGCACATGCTGTTAGAAAAACGGAACTGATAGACTTGCTAAGCCAGGGTTGCCACAAACCTTCAATTTATTAAAAATGCAATAAAATGAGGTGTGGGTGAATAATAAGGAAACTGAGGTTCCCAGACATCATACAGCTAGTTAATAACAGCTGGTCTTGAAAACACCGGACTTTACAACCACTAATTTTATTTATTTTATTTTGAGGCAGGGTCTCGCTCTGTCGCCCAGGCTGGAGTGCAGTGACACGATCACGGCTCACTGCAGCCTCGACCTCCTAGGCTCACGCGATTCTCCCGCCTCAGCCTCTGACAGCAAGTGGGATACTAAGTTCCGACATCATCTGTCGCAGTGCTGGGCCGCGCCAAGACCACATGGCCCGTGGGCGCAAGCGGCGGGCTGCCAGTGCGCAAGCGCGCACCTGCTGCGCTAGGGCCCCGCGCCCCTCCCTCCCTCGTTCCCTTCTGCCTTATCACCGCCTTCCCCCTCCACCATCCTCTCACCACCTCCAGGCCCCGCCCCGGCCCTCCAGGCCCCGCCCCGGCCCTCACACCCCGTCTCCTCCGTGCAGTCGCCCCGGAGCTGTACGGGTGTACTGCGTGTTGCTGCGTCATCGCCAGTGGCCGGTTTGAATGAGACTCTCGTCGCACTGAAGCCGCCGCCACTACCGCGCCTCCGCCTCGGCCGCCGCCACAGCTGCTTCTGGTCCCAGTCCCTTAGCCGCCTGTACCAGGCCCAGCCCTCCTGCGCCACTGCCTCCTGCCGCTTCCAGCTATGCCGCTCTACTCCGGTGAGCCCCCTCCTGGCCTCGCAGGCCGCACACCGGCCCGGCGCTAGGCCTCCGCGTAGGCCTGGCCTGCAGGGGCGGGCGCCGGGGACGGGCCAAGAGGGGCCGGGGTGGGGTGTGCGGGGCCGGCGGTGCGGAGACGACTCTGGCACCGTCCCCTCTCCCGGCTGGGTCGTCTCCCCCTTTCCCCTGCGTGACACGGGAGCGCCGTTCCCCTGAGCCACTGGTGGATGGGGGGAGTGGAGATGGGGAAGCCTTTCAAAGTCGTGACTCTGCAGAATAGTTTCTGATGCTGCCCTGGTGTGCGGTGAAAGTGAGGGTGTGTCCTGGGGCGCTGGGCACCAGGCTGGAGGTACAGGACGATTCCTTTGGACTTCTCAGTGGTTGTCGTGGAAGGGAGCGGGAAAGAAGGGGAGGGATGGAGGGACCCGGGATGGAAGGTGAGGCTTTATCCTTTTAGGGGTCGCCAAGCGGCATTCGCCACCCCTCGTCGCCCTTCACCCTCCTCTTGCTCCTTGCCTTTGTTCGGCCGCCCCATTGGTACCACTTTTAGTTTTGTCCCGAGGCAGATTGTAAACCTCTTGGCTTCGTTTTCATTTCATCAGACGTTGTATTGGATTTCTGTATCTGAAACATATGGTGTGAGCTTTCATAAGTAGGTGAATACACTTATCTCCGGGGTGTCATTTCTTGATTGGTGTTTGACAAGGGATTGTGTTGTTTGCTTGCTTACAGTCCAAGGTACTGGCCAGGGATCACTTTTACTTAGAGAATGGAACTTGCTGCTTCATAGTCTTATTCAAGATGGCACCTAAAATATGTGTGATGGCTCCAATTGGCTATAGATGTGTGATTCATTGACCATCCCTCTGTCAGTTTCTTTATTGAAGATTCAGCATTTCAAAGCATGATACGAATCGAGAGTAATGTTTGATCTCAAGGTGGATCTTGATGGTCTAGAATCTTGAATGGAATTCTTAATGATTGTCCAACACCTTTCTAAAGTCATAACAGTAGAATGGCTCTTGAAACATTCTGATACTTAAACATACCAGTAGGTTCACACACATGCAACAAAACCCCTCTGTTTCCTCAAAAAATGCCAGCGCTGACCAAAGTTTCTTTTTTAAAATTTGAGCTTTGTCTTAAATATTTAATCAGATCTTTTCCTCATCACCCCCCAAATGAGGGAACGCAAGTAGATTTCTAAGGTCCCTTCCTTTGGCCTCTCCATATTGAGAATCTGTATTTTGAGGGTCAGCAAAAAGCTCTGTGTTAAAATAAAGAGAACATTTTAAGTATTATTTTGTAAGATTTAGTAGAAAATTAAGTATCTGGGCCCGACGTGGTGGCTTATGCATGTAATCCTAGCACTTTGGGAGGCCGAGTCGGGTGGATCACTTGAGGTCAGCAGTTCGAGACCAGCCTGGCCAACATGATGAAACTACATCTTTATTAAAAATATAAAAATTAGCCAGGCGATGTGGCAGACACCTGTAATCCCAGCTACTTGGGAGGCTGAGGCAGGAGAATTGCTTGAACCAAGGAGGTGGAGGTTGCAGTGAGCCGAGATTGTGCCATTGCACTTCGCAAAAAAAAAATAAAAGAAAGAAAAAAAAAAAAGAAAATTAAGTATCTAGATTATTAAATGGCTAAAGGTAAGTGCTATTAAAAATTAAAGCCAGGGGCCATGGCGTATGCCTTTAATCCCAGCTACTCAGGAAGCTGAGTTGGGAGGATCACTTGAGCCTAGGAGTTAGAGGATGCAGTGATCTGTGATGGTGCCACTGCACTCCAGCCTGGATGACAGAGAAAGACCCCTGTCTCTAAAAATAAACACATCTACTGTGCCTCATACAGAGTTAAAATTTTGTACAAACTGCTTTGTTTTAATCTTCAACATGATTCTGTGATACTGGTAGAATTCCTCTTTTAAGCATAAGCAAAAAGTTTTAACTTGCTCATAGTGATAGCTAAATAAATTTCAGGTTGGTTCTGTCCTTCTAGTACTGTTTTGGTTTGATCCTGTATCACCTCTACCTTGTACTATTGTAATATGCTTTTAGTTTATTTCAGTGATTGCAGTGTGCCTTCTTCAAACCTGTTTTCTCTGCGGCTGCAAGAGTGATCTAATAATATTCAAACCAGACTAAAGTGATCTTTATGACAGTCTTTCAGGAATTACACATTGCCTATAACATAAAGCCTTTATGTATTTTTTTTTTTTTGAGATGGAGTTTTGCTCTTGTTGCCCAGGCTGGACCACCCTCCAGTTTCAAGCAATTCTTTTGCTTCAACCTCCCGAGTAGCTGGAATTACAGGTGCTTGCCACCATGCTGAGCTAATTTTTGTATGTTTAGTAGAGATGGGGTTTTACCATGTTGGCCAGGTTGGTCTCAAACCCCTGACTTCAAGTGTTATCTGCCCATCTCAGCCTCCCAAAGTGCTGGGATTACAGGCATGAGCCACTGCACTCAGCGTCTTTATGTATGTTTTAGGATTACATGTCTTCTATAATTTGATCCTTAACCAGCTTCCAATTTCATCTATGGCTACTTTCCCTTCACTTGGTAGTTAACTACTTACATCTTAGAACACACCATGCTACTTTATGCTGTGGAATATTTTTCTTCTTTTTGGGGATACTTCTGTTATCTCCTAGTCTCTAACACCTAATCTTTTCTTTAAGATTCAAAGTTGATGGTAACTCAAAAGTTAATACTTCCTCCAGGAAATCTTTCCTCATTTATGAAGCATTCCACTGTGTTGCTGTAGCCTTTATAATACTTACGTTGTTAATTACTATAGCCTTCCCCCCTCCCTTCCTTATTAAGTGATAAGTTTATGGAGAGTCTTCCCAGTGCTTGATACTGGTCTTGTCATTAAATGAATGCTCAACATATTCATTGAACGGTGATAGAATTGGGATTTGGTGTCAGGGTCAGGTTTCAAATTCTTAAGGAGTTGAAAAGCAGTTAACAGTTGTGAGGTTCTTATTTTTGAAAGGTATAAAGTTTTCAGTGGAAACAATATAGGTCCTTGGGTTTAAAACAGTATATTTCAAAAGTTACCTATTTTATGAGGCTGATTGAAATTTTTTATTGTGGTGAAATATATGTAATAAAATTTACCATTTTAATGATTTTTACATGTACAGTTCTGTAGCATTAAGTATATTCACAGTGTTACACAACCGTCACCTTCATCCACATCCTCTGGCAAACACCATTCTCTTTTTGTGTCTATGAATTTGACCACTTCAGGTGTCTCGTAACTGGAATCATCCATGTTGTAGCATGTGTAAGAGTTTCTTTCCTTTTTAGTGTTGAATAATATTCCATTGTATTTATATACTGTATTTTCTTTGTCCATTAATCTGTTGATGAACGCTTGAATTGCTCCCACTTTTTCAGCTATTGTGAATAATGCTGCTATAAACATGGGTGTACAAATATCTGTTTGAATCCTTGCTTTTAGATCTTCTGGTTATACCCAGAAGTGAAATTGCTGGATCATATGGTAATGCTGTGTTTACCACCAGCAGTGTACAAGTGTTCCAGTTTCTCCACATCTTTGCTAACACTTGTTATTTTCTGTTAAATTTAAAAAGTCGTAGCCATTCTAATGGCTGTGAGGTGGGATTTCTATATGTTTTAAAATGATTTACATATGTCTTTGGATTTTTTCTTTTTTCTTTTCTTTTTTTTTTTTTTTTGAGACGGAGTTTCACTCTTGTTACCCAGGCTGGAGTGCAATGGCACGATCTCGGCTCACCGCAACCTCCGCCTCCTGGGTTCAGGCAATTCTCCTGCCTCAGCCTCCTGAGTAGCTGGGATTACAGGCACATGCCACCATGCCCAGCTAATTTTTTGTATTTTTAGTAGAGACGGGGTTTCACCATGTTGACCAGGATGGTCTCGATCTCTTGACCTCGTGATCCACCTGCCTCGGCCTCCCAAAATGCTGGGATTACAGGCGTGAGCCACCATGCCTGGCCTCTGGATTTTTTCTTAATATTTGAGCACGTACTGTTCAGAAATGACACTTTTCAATTCTCCCACATTTCTTGTGATTCAGAATCTGTATTTTTTTTTTTTTTTTTATTTCGAGACGGAGTTTCGGTCTTGTTACCCAGGCTGGAGTGCAATGACGCGATCTCGGCTCACCACACCCTCTGCCTCCTGGATTCAAGCAATTCTCCTGCCTCAACCTCCTGAGTAGCTGGGATTACAGGCATGTGCCACCATGCCCAGCTAATTTTTGTATTTTTAGTAGAGACGAGGTTTCACCATGTTGACCAGGATGGTCTCGATCTCTTGACCTCGTGATCCACCTGCCTCGGCCTCCCAAAGTGCTGGGATTACAGGCTTGAGCCACCGCGCCCGGCTAGAATCTGTATTTTTTAAATGGTTGTAGAGGTGCCTTATTCTCACAGGAACTTTTTTTCTTAAGCTGTCTTTTTTTCTTAAACTATTCTCTTTTCCAATGCTGTGTGCTGATGTGAATGACTCTTCAATTAAACAAATTGTGGAGGCTGTGAAACTTATTATTTTGGGAAATATTTCAATATGATCATTATATTGTTGAAGTAGGATTCAGAAGACTTGGAAGTTTATTAACCAGTTTTGTTACATTAGCAAATCAGTCTACTTCTCTTAAGTCTCAGTTTCTTTAATTATCAAATGAGAAGTTAGGTTTGATCCAGTGAAATTTTATTTAGGACCTGCTGCATGCATGCCATTCTTGATTAGGTAGGTGTTATGGGCTTAGAAAGATGAATGACACACTTTGACTCTCAGTAACTGCCTAATGGTGATCTTCTAAGGGTCTGTAAATCTTGTCTTATTTTTTAATTTTAAAAATTGTGATTTTGTTTGCAGTTACTGTAAAATGGGGAAAGGAGAAATTTGAAGGTGTAGAATTGAATACTGATGAACCCCCAGTGGTGTTCAAGGCTCAGCTGTTTGCATTGACTGGAGTCCAGCCTTCCAGACAGAAAGTTATGGTGAAAGGAGGAACGCTAAAGGTAAAATGTAGTCCTAATTTTCATCACATTACTATTATGATATAATTTGTGAAAAATAACACTGGAAAATGTGTTTAGTTTTAATATAGCATTTGACGTGTTTTTTAAATATGATTAGAGTATGTCATCTGTGGGATTACAACTGTGTTATGCATGTTAGTGTAAGTGAGGAACATTGTCGCCATTTCACAGCACTGTATGGTATTATAAAAGCATTGTTTTAAAAATCTTTTTGCTTTTATTTATTTTTAACTTTTAGATTCCAAGGTACATGGGCAGGTTTGTTATATAGGTAAACTCGTGTCACAGGGTTTTGATGTACAGATTTCATCACCCAGGTACTAAGCATAGTACCCGACAGGTAGTTTTTTTAAAAAATCCCTTTCCTCCTCCCATTCTCTACCCTCAAGTAAGCTCCAGTGTCTTTTCCCCTGTATGTGTCTATGTGTTCTAATTTTTTTTTTTTTGAGACAGAGTCTCGCTCTGTCGCCCAGGCTGGAGTGCAGTGGCGCAATCTCAGCTGGCTGCAACCTCTGCCTCCTGGGTTCAAGTGATTCTCCTGTCTGCTTCAGCCTCCTGAGTAGCTGGGATTACAGGTGTTTGTCACGACACCTGGCTAATTTTTGTATTTGTAGTAGAGATGGGATTTCACCATGTTGGCCAGGCTTGTCTGGAACTCTTGACCTCAAGTGATCCACCTGCCTGGGTCTCCCAAAGTGGTGGGATTATAGGCGTGAGCCACTGTGCCAGGCCTATGTGTTCTCATTATTTAGCTCTTACTTACAAGTTAGAACATGAAGTTTTCTTTTTTGTTCCTGTGTTAGTTTACTAAGAAACTAGCAAGTAATGGTCTCCAGCTCCATCCAACATTACTTTGAATAAAAATAATATAATAATAAAAATCTAGATTTTTATTCAGCATATTGAAGAGAAAGTATTTAATTGCTTTATAGATGTGAAATGTACCACTTGAGAAACATTTGTGGATATGCAAATATTGTTAAGATTTAATTTAAATTTTAAATTTAATTTAAATTAATTAATTTAAATTTAAATTTCTACAAGCATCATTTAAATTATATTTTAAAATTTATTGTATTGCCAGATACCTCTGAAGGTCAGGAGAGTGGAACGCTTTGCAGTTATCTGTATTGTGTGAATTTTTGTTCCGATGAGGTTGTATTAAAAATAGTTTTAGGCCGGGCGCGGTGGCTCAAGCCTGTAATCCCAGCACTTTGGGAGGCCGAGGCGGGTGGATCAAGAGGTCGAGAGATCGAGACCAACCTGGTCAACATGGTGAAACCCCGTCTCTACTAAAAATACAAAAAATTAGCTGGGCATGGTGGCGCGTGCCTGTAATCCCAGCTACTCAGGAGGCTGAGGCAGGAGAATTGCCTGAATCCAGGAGGCGGAGGTTGCGGTGAGCCGAGATAGCGCCATTGTGCTCCAGCCTGGGTAACAAGAGCGAAACTCCGTCTCAAAAAAAAAAAAAAAAAAAAAATAGTTTTATTTTGTTTAGACTAAAATGAAATTAATACTTAGTAATTTTCTCTAATGAGGATGGAAAATTTTATCTCAGTTTAAAAATATGGAACAAAAGAGATAGTTTTGTTTTTCTTAAAAAATCTATTACAGCATATAATTTTGTACATGCATTTGAATGTTGAAATGCAGAGCACTTCAGCATCTTTACCAAAGCCCTGGTTCTGGAAAACTGTTCTTTTTTTTGGCCTTTATTGCATTCTACCCATTAATGAAGAGGCCTTTTTTATTTCTTCTTTTTATTTTTTTGAGACAGAGTCTCATTCTGTCGCTCAGGCTGGAGTACAGTGGTGTTATCTCCACTCACTGAAACCTCTGCCTCCTGGGTTAAAGCAGTTCTCTTCCTCAGCCTCCTGAATAGCTGGGATTACAGGCACCCGCCACCAGGCCTGGCTAATTTTTGTATTTCTAGTAGAGATGGGGTTTCACCATGTTGGCTAGCCTGGTCTTGAACTCCTGACCTTGTGATCCACCCACCTCAGCCTCTGAAAGTGCTGGGATTACAGGTGTGAGCCACCATACTCGGCCTCTTTTTCTTTTAGATGGAATCTTGATCTGTCGGCCACGCCAAAGTGCAGTGGTGCTGTCTTGGCTCACTGCAACCTCTGCCTCCTGGATTCAAGTGATTCTCATGACTCAGCTTCCCAAGTAGCTGGGATTACAGGTGCTCACCACCATGCCCTGCTAAGTTTTATATTTTTAGTAGAGATTGGGTTTCACCATGTTAGCCAGTCTGGTCTTGAACTCCTGACCTCAAGTGATCTGTCCACCTCAGCCTCCCAAAGTTACTGGAATTACAGGTGTGAGCCACTGCACCTGGCTCCCTTTTTTCTTAACAGTAATTGCTACCTAACTCCTACCTGGAGAAAGGAGGAAAAAATTTTTGTTTAAAAAGAAAGGAAACTGGCTGGGCCTGGTGGCTCACGCCTGTAATCCCAGCACTTTGGGAGGCCGAGGTGGGCAGATCATGAGGTCATGTGATCGAGACCATCCTGGCCAACATGGTGAAATACCATCTTTACTAGAAATAGAAAAATTAGCTGAGCATAGTGGTGCACACCTGTAGTTCCAGCTACTTGGGAGGCTGAGGCAGGAGAATCGCTTGAACCCAGGAGGTGACGGTTGCAGTGAGCTGAGATCTCACCAGTGCACTCCAGCCTGGCAAAAGAGTGAAACTCCAAAGAGAGGAAACTTAATTTTTTTCTTTATTTCCTTTGGAATAATCACAGTGACCACAGTTAAGAATCCAACCTTGCCAGCATCACTGATGAAAGACTGCAGAAAAGACAAGACAATATCTGTTATTATTACTATTTTTAAGATTGAGTCTTCCTCTGTTGTCCAGGGGCTGGAGTGCAGTAGCGTGATTTTGGCTCACTACAACCTCCACCTCCTGGGCTCCAGGGATTCTCCTGCCTCAGTCTCCTGAGTAGCTGGGATTACAGGTGTCTGCCACCGTGCCTGGCTAATTTTTGTATTTTTAGTAGAGACTGGGTTTCACCATGTTGTCACTGGTCTGGAACTCCTGACCTCAAGTGATCTGCCCTGTCTTGGGCCTCCCAAAGTGCTGGAATTACAGGTGTGAGCCACCACAGCTGGCCTCTACTATTGTTTTTTTAATAATATAAGTATAGTTTAAAAAAAAAAACTTTCTTCAAGGGTTAGATAAAATGCTAAAGAGCTATAGTTAACTTTGAAGACTGACTACCCCTCCTGGGCAATAAAACACATGTTGGAGAAAAAACTTTGTTTACCCCTCAAGATACAATATGAACCTTTGGCCTTTAGTGAACTTCATAGCCTTATTGGTGCTATGAACACTGTACTAGTGGTATGCTGTTGAAAATGATAGAAAAATGCATATTAAATGAAACTGTAACTGCTAATGGTTTCCATTTATTGAGTACTTATTCTGTGTCTGGCTTTTCTTGTATTTTCTTTAATTCTCCACTGTATATTACCCATATTTTATAAATGAGGAAATTTTATAAATGAGTTTTTTTTTTTGATTTTTTTTTTTTTTTGGGGGGGGGGTTTCACCATGATGGCCAGGCTGGTCTTGAACTTCTGACCTCTGGTGATCCACCCAGCTTGGTCTCCCAAAGCTCTAGGATTACAGGCGTGAGCCACCGAGCCCGGCCATAAATGAGTTTTAAAGAGGTTTAAGTAACATAGTACTTAGAAGAGCATGTGATTTATAAGTCAAGCAGATCTGTGTTCAATTCCTAGCTTTGTGTGACCTTGGGTAAGTGATCTTAGGGGGCATTTATAGTTATCATTCCTTATGTTTAGCAGTCATAGCCCTTCCATTGAGAAGGGCTTTTAGGAAGTTATTGTTCCATTTTAAAGCAGTGTCCAAGGAGATAATTAGTGGTACCAATCATGGGGAGACAAGCTTATTGAGTACCTGATACCTTCTATAAAAGAGGGTAATATGGAATTGACTTTATCTTATGAGGGAAAGGCCTAGCTGCAGTAAGTTAAAATACCTCTGGATTAATCATGCATGAAAAAAAAAATCTTGATTTTTATTCAGCATATGGAAGAGAAAGTATTTAATTGCTTTATAGATGTGAAATTTACCACTTGAGAAACATTTGTGGATATGCAAATATTATTAAGATTTAATTTGCCATTAGCCAGGTGTGGTGGCGCATGCTTGTAATCTTAGCTATTCCGGAGGCTGAGGCTGGAGAATTGCTTGAACCCGGGAGTCGAAGTTTGCAGTAAACCAAGATCGAGCCACTGCACTCCAGCACTCCAGCCTGGGAGACAGAGCAAGACTCTTTCTCAAAAAAAAAAAAAAAGGATTTTTTTTGCCCTGGTTAGTCTGGTTTACTCTCTTGGTATAATTTTTAATAGCATTTGCATTCTTACCAGTCTCCTGGTTTTGATGACAAATTATATAGTTAACTTAATTACATTAACTCTTCATTCTTGCCATAAAAGCTAGTTATTAGCTCTGCTGGTTCCAAACATCCAAAAAATAGGATCTATCATTTGTTATTAGTCAACTGTTCTTTAGTACTTGTTAAAGTATTTATTTTTATATTTAGGGTTTTTTTAGCATTTGATGCTGTAAAGGTTACTACTGCCTTTTATATTGTGTTACCTTATGCAGTTGAAGCCAATTACTTGAAACTCTGGCATTAGGACCTCTTCTGTTAAATTTTTTTTTTTCTTTTTTTGAGATGGAGCCTTGCTCTGTCGCCCCGGCTGGAGTACAGTGGTGTTATCTCGGATCACTGCACCCTCCGCCCCCTGGATTCAACTGATTCTGTTGCCTCAGCCTCCCGAGTAGCTGGGATTACAAGTGTGTATCACCACGTTCAGCTAATTTTTGTATTTTTAGTAGAGCAGGGTTTCTCCATATTGGTCAGGCTGGTTTTGAACTCCTGACTTCAGGTGATCTGCCCGCCTCGGGCTCCCAAAGTGCTAGGATTATAGGTGTGAGCCACTGTGCATGGCCAAAAAATTTTTTTATATTGCAATAATTTTTAATAAAATCTGTGTGCAGGATACATTTTATTCTGTTTTGAAGTAGCTTAAAATTAATTGATTGTTAGATTATGTTCAGCTTGTACAGCAGTAGTTAAATGTCTTTTGTTTGTCTTTGAAACAGGATGATGATTGGGGAAACATCAAAATAAAAAATGTAAGTATTTTCTTATGAATGTTTATAATGCAGTAACCTCGTTATGATGCCAAAATAAATTCCAGATGACTTTTTTCATATGTATATTCATTTTTCCAGCATTAAATACTTGCCTTTTCTCATTGACTTGTATTAGACTTTTTCTTGAAAATCAGTTGTAGGTTTGTTTTGGGTTTTTGTTTCATTGATCTAGTTGATTAAAGTTACACTAGTACCGAATGTTTTTGATTACTAAAGCTTTATAATAAAAGTTTTGAAAAAAAAATGAGCTGAGTGTGGTGGTGCACACCTGTAATCCCAGCTACTCAGGAGGCTGAGGCAGGAGTATCACTTGAACCTGGGAGGTGGAGGTTGCAGTGAGCCAAGATTGTGCCACTGCACTCCAGCCTGGCAACAGAAGGAGACTCTGTCTCAAAAAAAAAAAAGTCTTGAAATAAGATAGTATACATTCTCTAACTTTCTCCTCTTTGAGATTTTGTTTGAGATTACATTGAATCTGTACTTCAATTTAGGGAAAATAAACATCTTAGCAATATTGAGTATTTGAATATGATGTACTTCCTTATTTATTTAGGTCTTTATTTTCTCTTAGCAGAGTTGTCGTTTTTTAATATAGAGATTTTGCATGAGGTTTTTTTTTTTTTTTTTTTTTGAGACATGGTCTTACTCTTATGTAGGCTAGAGCACAGTGGCATGGACATGGCTTACTGCGGGCTCAAACTTCTAGGATCAAGCAGTCCTTCCATCTCAGCTTGCTTTCTTTTTTTTTTTTTTTTCAATTTTTTTTTTTTAGGAACGAAAATCTAAGTTTCCACACATCTCAGCTTTCTGAGTAGCTGGGACCACAGGTGTATATTACCATGCCCAGTTAATTATATTTATTTTTTGTAGAGATGGGGGTGTCACTATGTTTCATAGACTGGTCTTGAACTCTTGGGCTGAAGCGATCCTCCTGCCTTGGCCTCCCAAAGTGCTGGAATTACAGGTGTGAGTCACCTTGCCCAGCCCTTGCATGATTTTTCTTAAATTACTGGAACTTAACATTTGTTTGCTGCTTAAAATGATGTTAAAAAATTTGTTTCCAGTGTTCATGGCTAGAATGTAAAAATACAATTGATTTTTCTAGGTTTATTTTCGTTCTGTGTTCTTATAAGCAATTCACTTACTAATACCAGTTGTGTTTTTGGTAGATTCTGTTGGGTTTTCTGTGTACATAAACATTTGATCTGCAAATAATGACAATTTTACTTCTCCCTTTTCCATATTCATGACTTTCAGTTTTCTTACACTTTATTGAAGTATAATTGGTAAACAAATGACTTCTAATTTCTTTCTTTTTTTTTTTTTTTTTTTTTGAGACAGAGTCTTGCTCTGGCCCCCAGGCTGGAGGGCAGTGGTGTGATCTCACCTCACTGCACCATCGGCCTCCTGGATTCATGGCAGTTCTCCTGCCTCAGCCTCCTGAGTAGCTGGTACTACAGGTTCCTGCCACCACACCCAGCTAATTTTTGTATTTTTAGTAGAGATGGGGTTTTGCCATGTTGGCCAGGCTGGTCTTTAACTCCTGACCTCAAGTGGTCTGCCTGTCTCAATCTCCCAAAATGTTGGGATTACAGGTGTGTGAGCCGCTGTGCCAGGCCTTGTCCTACTTTTTGATAGGGCTTCTAATACAGTGTTAATAGAAAGTGATAAGAGTGGACATCTTGGTCAGATGTGGTGGCTCATGCCCGTGATCGCAGCATGGGAAGCCGAGGCGGGTGGATCACTTGAGGTCAGGAGTTTGAGCCCAGCCTGGCCAACATGGCAAAACCTCATCTCTACTAAAAATACAAAAATTAGCTGAGCCTCATGGCATGCGCCTGTCGTCCCAGCTACTTGGGAGGCTGAGGTAGGAGAATTGCTTGACCCTGGGTGGTGGAGGTTACAGTGAGCTGAGATCACACCACTGTCCTCCAGCCAGGGCAACAAGCTAGATTCCTCTTCAAAAAAATAAAAAAGAGTGGACATCTTGTTTTATTCTAGTTCACTACAACTTAAAATTATGAAAGACTGTTAATTTTTTTTTTAAGACAGAGTTTCCCTCTTGTTGCCCAGGCTGGAGTGCAGTGGTGCGATCTTGGCTCACTGCAGCCTGCACCTACCACCTACCAGGGTCAAGCAGTTCTCCTACCTCAGCCTCCCTAGTAGCTGGGATTACAGGTGTGTGCCACCGTGCCTGGCTAATTTTTGTATTTTTAATAGAGACGGAGTTTCACCATGTTGGCCAGGCTGGTCTCAAACTCCTGACCTCAGGTGATCTACCACTTTGGCCTCCCAAAGTGCTGGGATTACAGGTGTGAACCATTGTGCTCGGCCTGTTAAATTTTATTAAGTGTTTTTTCTGCTGCTGCTTAAAATGAGTGATTTTCTTTTCTTTTTTTCTTTTTTTCTTTTGGTGATATGTTTATTCTCATTGACTTTTTACTTAAACCTCGTATTTCTGGGACGTGCAGTTCTCAGATTTCTTGGTTTTGTGACCCTTTTGCTCTCTTATAAATTATGATTCACCTCAGAGTTTTATATACAGACACACCTCATTTTATTGTGATTAGTTTTATTGTGCTTCATAGATAATTGTGATTTTTACAAATTGAAGGTTTGTGGTCACCCTGCATCGAACAAGTCTATAGACACCATTTTTCCAGCACCATGTCTTCACTTCATATCTCTTTGTCACATTTTGGTGATTCTTGCAATATTTGAAACATTTTAATTACTATCATGTGAAGTATGTTGATCTTTGATGTTACTTTTGTAATTGTTTTGGGGTGTCATGAATCACGCCTGTAAAACAGCAAACTTAATTGGCAAATGTGTGTTCTTGACTGCTTCACCCACCTGCGGTTCCGTCCTCCCTTTCCTTGGGCCTCCCTGTTCCCTGAGACTAGATAGTATTGAAATTATGCCAGTTACTATCCCTGCAGTGGCCTCGAAGTGTTCAAGAGGAAGGAGTTGCATGTCTCTTACTTTCAACAGAAAGCTTAAGCTTAGTGAGCAAGGCCTGTTTAAAGCTGAGATAGGCCAAAAGCTAGGCATTTGGCACGAGTTAACCAAGTTCTGAATACAAAGATGCAGTTTTCAAAGGAAAGTTAGAAGCTAAAGTTCTTGAAGTGTTACTGCAATGAACACACGAATGATAAAGCAAAACAGCCTTATTGCTGTTATGGAAAAAGTTTAAGTGGCCTTAAGTCAAAGCTTAATCCAGAGCAAAACTCCAATTCTCTTTAATTTTGTGAAGGTTGAGAGAGATAAGGAAGCTACATTTTCTTCATCAAACTAACACAGGAACAGAAAACCAAACACCACATGTTGTCACTTGTAAGTGTGAGCTGAACAATGCGAACACATGGACACAGGGAGGAGAACAACACACACTGGGGCCTGTTGGGTGGTGGAATGTCAGGAGAGCACAAGTTTTAAAGAAAGAAGCAATCTCTGTAACATAAAGTGCAAGGTGAGGCAGCAAGTACTCATGGAGAAGCTAAGTTACCCAGAGGATCTAGCTAAGATTGTTGATAAAAGTGGCCTATACTATATAACAGATTTTCAATGTGGATGAAACAGTCTGATATTGGAAAAAGATGCTGTCTAGGCCTTTCATAGCTAGAGAGAAGTCTGTCTGGGTTCAAAGGACAGGCTGACTTTCTTATTAGAGGCTAATGCAGCTGGTGACTTTTAAGTTGAAGCCAGTGCTCATTTACCATTCCAAAAACTGTGGACCTCTTAAGAATGATGCTAAGTCGGGCCAGGTGTGGTGGCTCACGCCTGTAATCCAAGCACTTTGGAGGCCAAGGTGGGTGGATCACCTGAGGTCGGGAGTTCAAGACCATCCTGACCAACATGGTGAAACCTCGTCTTATTTAAAAAAAAAAAAAAAAAAGAGTGATGCTAAGTCTACTCTGCTGCCTGTGTTCTGTAATGGAACAAAAAAGCCCGGATGACGGTAGATCTGTTTACAACATGGAGTACTGAATATTTTAAGGCCACCATTGAGACTTACTGCTCAGAAAGATTACTTTCAAAATATTACTGCTTGTTGACAATGCACCTGTTCACTCGAGCTTTGAGGGAGATAAATGAGATGAATGTTGTTTTTGTGTATGCTAACACAACAACTATTCTGTAGCCCATGGATCAAGGAGTAATTTCTATTTTCAAATTTTATTTAAAAGATACATTTTGTAAGGCTAAAGTTTCCCTATAAAGTTGTTTCTCTGTGAATCTGGGCAAAATAAATTAAAAACCTTCAGGAAAGCATTCACCATTCTTGATGCCATTAGTAACATTCATGGGAGGAAGTTAAAATGTCATTGTTACCAGGAATTTGAAAGAAGTTGATTCTAACCCTCATGGATGACTTTGAGGAGTTCAAGACTTGAGTTGAGGATGCAATTGCACATGTGGTGGAAATAGGAAGTAAACTAGAATTAGAAGTCATCAGTCTTGGTGGCTCACTCCTGTAATCCCAGTACTTTGGGAGTCTGAGATGGGAGGAGAGCTTCAGACTGGGAGTTTGAGACCAGCCTGGGCAACACAGTGAGACACTGTCTTTACAAAAAATAAAATTAGTTGGGAATGATGGTGTATAACTGTGGTCCTAACTACTCTGGAGACTGAGGCAGTAGGATCACTTAAGCCTAGGAGTTTTGAGGTTACAGTAAGCTATGATTTTGCCATTACACTCCAATCTGAGTGACAGAGTGAGACCCTGTATCTAAAAAACAAAAAAAAGATTAAAAAAAATATGGAGCTTGAAATTGTGACTGAATTGCCACAATCTCATGATAAAACTTGAACAGGTGTGAGGAGTTAACTTATGGATGTACAAAGAAAGTAATTTCTTGAGCTAGACTCTACTCCTGGTGAAGAAGCCGTGAATGTTGTTGAAATGACAACAAAGGATTAAAAATACTGCATCGTTGATAAAGTGGCAGCAGGCTTTGAGAGAATTGACTCCAGTT